TCCTGCCAGAGCAGCTCCCTGTGACCGGGCACAGCCCTGCGCCCACGGGGACACCCCGGGGTGCTCAGCAGGCACCGAGGCTGCGGGCAGGAGGGGACCGGTGGCAGGACAGCGAGGTGGCAGGACAGACCTGGTGGGGATGGAGTTGCTGCCGCTCTTTTCCCACGCCCCAAAATGCCTCTGCGGGCTGCAGGGCTGGTGTGGGTGCCCCCCGGTCCCCTCTCCCCTCTGCGCCTGCCAAGCCCTGCACAGCTGCTGGAGCAGAGCCCAGCACAGCAATAAAGTGTCCTGCGGCCACCTCCTGTGCTGCCTGTGTCCCCAGAGCCAGCGCTGCTGGGGACGGGCTGGGTGGGAGTCGGTCCTGGCTGCTCCTGTCCCTGCCGTGGGGTGGTCCCGGGACCCCCAGGGAGGCCCAGCTCCGAGGGCATCCCCCGCATCGGCCAGGGCTGGGTGCTGGCCTCTGCAGCGGCTGCCGGGGCTGTTGGTCCCCGCCGGGCTCCTGGCCCCGGTGGGGCGCGGGGCTGGTCCCTGCTGGTGGAGCTGAGCTGGCAGCAGTCCCAGGGCACCGTGCAGCCTTGCACCCGCTGGCAGCTCCGCTAGAAACGGGAGCTCTCAGCTCCTGACGAAGGTCGTTGCGAGGTGCAGGGGCCCAGCTGCTCCCGGCTGCGCAGCAACTGCCCCAAGGCCAGTGCTGCCACAGGAGCTGGCGCGGACGGCGGGGCAGGAGAGGCTGGGGAGGCGGGGAGGGGGCTGCAGCCCCGGGCCTCGAGCAGGGGCTGTGGGTGCCCGGGCCCCTCACCTCCCCCTGCGCCCCGGAGCAGCAGGTCTGAGCCCTCCTTGTGACACCGGGAGCCGTGCCGGGGGTGAGGGATGGCTCATGGGAACCTGCCCGGCATCCCCCTGGCCTCAGGGCAGGGTTACTGGCAGAGCTGGGGTTTGCTGGAGCCAGGACTGAAGCAAGAGGCTGACTCCAGGCAGGGTCTGCCTGGGGCTCCCCACTGCTGCAGTGGGTCGCTGGGCTCCCTCGCCCCCTTCGGTCCCCGCTGCCAGGCAGGACCCAGACCTGGGGATTTGCCCGTAGCCCCGGGGAAGCCCCTGCTGACAGCGAGCCCCCGTGCGTGAGCTGGCCGTGTCAGCGGGGGGACGGCCGGGAGCGCTGCTCCTGCTGCTGGGGTCTCCCTGGCTCTGGCATCTGGTCCTGTGCCGGGAGCACGCCCAGCCGGTGCGTGGCAGGGCTGTGGGCAGGCAGGAGGTGAGGGCTGCGGCAACTGGCTGCACCAAAACATCTCCTCCTGGACAGGGGTCTGCCGAGGGCCGGGGGCAGACTGGCATCACCCTGGCGGGTGCCGAGCCTGCCTGCAGAGCACTGGGGGGTCGAGTGCTCGGCGAGGCAGGAACAGGCAGGGCCTGTCGCAGGCAGGGGCAGCCAGCTCGGCCATGGCCGTAGCCGTACCTGGCTGTCCATCCCAGGAGCAGTGCCCAATAACGGCAGCGTGAACCACGGTCACAGGGGTTTATTACAAAGTGGCAAAGTAAAACGCCAGTGGTGCTGCTCCGGCTCCGGAGGAGCCATCCCGCGCCTGCTCGAGGGCTGGCAGCGGCCGGCACGCTGGTCTCCCCAGGGCTCTTGCGGGGTCTCTGCTTCGTGGGGCTACAGGGAACGGGGCCACAGTCCCAGGGACGCGGGGTGTCCTCGCTGCTGCTGGGGCAGGGATGGGGCTTCCTCGGCACGGGTGGGGCAGAGCGGTGCCCGCTCCCGCTGTCTACCGGGCACAGCCCAGCCGTGGACTCGTGCAAGTATGAAAACACCACCTTGTACAGGGCATGCCGCTTGCTCCCGCAGCAGAGAAGGGCCTGGGAAATGCGTCGCTCTGAGGACGGGGCTTGCAAAGCAAAGGAAATCACCAAGCAAAAAGCCCCTGCTGAAACCTCGCCTCCGTTTTTGAGCCAGCGGCTCCTGGGAGGCTGCTGCGGCTGTGGCCCTGCTGCGGGGAGCACCCTGCCTGCCTGGGGCACAGAGGGGAGCTGCGCTCACCCCTCTGCCTGCAGGCATCAGGGCAGCTCTCCTCTGGGCAGTGCGCGGCCTTGCTGGATGCCGGGCTGCACCTTGCAGTCACATCAGGCTCTGAAGGTGCACCGGGCGTCAGACAAGGGGCCAGAGTGTTGAGGCCAAACCTCAGCGTGCCCACCCGCTTCCCCGGTGGAGACGGTGAGTGGGGAGAGACCGGCCGGGTGAGGGGACGGGGCCGCAGGGCAGGCGAAGGCAAAGCGGGAGGTGATGCTGGGGGGATTGGCCGGGGGATGCCCATGCTTGGGTGACCACTTGCCACCTGGCTCAGCAGCGTCACATCATCCCCTGCTCCCCCCCCAGCCACCTCCCCACGGCAGCACCTTGTGAGAAACAGAGGTAAAGTGTGACCCGGGAGAACGCTGCCTGCCCGCTCCCCGCCGCAGTCTGGGCACAGAACGGCTGCGGCTCTAGGTGCCGGCCCCGCCGCCGCTGGGTCTCTTCTCGGTGAAGAAGCTTTTGAGCAGCATCACTTGCCCAATGCTGACCACAAAGAGGATGACGGTTTCCCCGACCGACCAGTATGAGACCCGGCCGTTGAGGTCTTCGGCTCTGCTCCGGTCCTGTGCTTCCCGCAGGCGGTAGTGAGTCTGGGAGTCGATCACCGTGTTCAGAGCCTCGTGGATGGTGACGCAGGCGGACTCCATCTGGGGAGACAAGCGTGCTCCGTTGCTGCTGACGCAGCACAGCTCGGGCCCGGTGCTCCCGGCCGAGGGAGTGGAGGACTGTGCTGGGACACCCGCGAGCAGGACAGCAGCGACCCAAGAGCGGCTCTGCTCAAAGGGGCAATGCTGGAGACGGGCTGCTGGAGGGAGCCTGCTGCGAGCACTGGGGCACAACTGAGAGACCCGCCGAGGCGCTGGGGGCCAAGGGCAGGGTCTGGGTCCCAGCCCAGGGCACAGCCATCCCTGCGGGCTCACGCCAAGGGACAGAAGAGGTTTGCTGCACTTCCCTTGCGCGGGATGGAAACCGGGTGCTCAGGTCAGGGCAGGTTCAGACGCAGAGCAGCCCTCCCCATCCCTCTCTGCCCGCGCTGCTGGGAGGGGGATGTGGCCTGCACGTGGCAGGGCGGTTGGCTGGCGGTTGGCACTTCTGCATTTGGTGGAGGGGAAGGTGGACAAGCCCCCAACCGCCGTCCCGTGGGGCCGTTTGGCCACAAGCGGGAGCTGCGGCAGGACCTCCCTCCTGCGGCAGCGTGCAGCGACTCACCTGCGTCAGGGCGGTGACGCGGTTGCTCATGTCGGGCAGGATCGGTGGCTCGTCGCCCACCTGGAAGTCGAAGTAGACGGTTTTGTGGGAGAAGGTGGAGAACTCATTGCTGAAGCAGAAGGTGTAGACACCCTTGACTTCAGCGCGGTGCGGGAAGCTGTCGTACTGCTTCTTGGTCTCCTTGTAGATCGTCCTGCCGTTGGGGTCCTCCACGTAGCAGTCCACGTCGTAGTGTCCCCCGGTGATCACCTGCGCGAGGAGACGCGGGCAGCACCTGCCGAACCACATGGCGAGAGCCTCCCGCCCCGGCGGGAGCAGCTCTGCTCGGCCCCATGCCTGCGTGCACAGCCCTGCCCTCGGAGAGCAGGCACCGTGCCACGGCTGCCCGCCCTGGGACGGGGGCCCGGGCTGGGGGAGCCCCGGGGGAGGCCGTGCCCCATGGTGCCTGCGGCTCGGGTGGGGTGCCCGGGGCTCGGGTGGGGTGCCCGGACAGGGGGACGGCTGGGTCCGGGGCTCCTGTGGGCACATGCCAGCGCTGGCTCTGAGGCGGACACTGCGGGGCAGGGGGCCAGGGCTGGGGACGTCTGCCGGGGCAGCGCGGGGGGAGAGGCGCAGCCCTGCCGGGGGCCCCGCGGGGCACGGCAGGGGCGCGGGCAAGGCACGGGTGGGGGAGCATGGGCAGGGGGTGCGGGCAGGGGTGCGGGCAGGGCAGTACCTGATAGTCCAGCGTGAACTTGAGGCCGCGCTCCAGCTCCTGGTGGAAGCACTGCTTGGCGCTGTCGGGCAGCTCGAAGGTCAGCTCGGTGCCGCCG